GTTTTAGTCAAACATTTAAAAAGCGTTAGATATCTGCGATGACGTCACACATTCAGAGGGGTATTCCTATGCATTAGCCCCTCTGAACCAAAATGCTGCAATTTTGAAATTCAATATTTCCGATTTAAGGCATTTCTGGATGTTGTGAGTGCCGAAACCGGTAATTGTGAGCCAGGGACCCCATTTTGGCTATCTCAACTCAAATCTAATGTTAAGGTGGGAGGGTCCCTTTAAGGTAGGCCTATGTAGCGAAATAAATTATCTGGGGCGTCTTGCCCAAGGTCTTCACCTTGCGTCTTTACCCTACTTTATACCCTACGTACATTTGCTATATGTACTTTTGTACGTGACGTACTTTTGTCCATACGTTTACGTACTTTATACCCTACGTACTTCTGCCATACGTACTTTTGTCCGTGACGTACTTTTGTCCATACGTACTTTTTACCCTACGTACATTAGCTATACGTACTTTTGTCCGTGACGTACTTTTGTCCATACGTACTTTATACCCTACGTACTTCTGCGATACGTACTTTTGTCCCTGACGTACTTTTGTCCATACGTACTTTTTACCCTACGTATATTAGCTATACGTACTTTTGTCCCTGACGTACTTTTGTCCATACGTACTTTATGCTGCACGTACTTCTGCGATACGTACTTTTGTCCCTGACGTACTTTTGTCCATACGTACTTTATACTGTACGTACTTCTGCGATACGTGCTTTTGTCCCTGACGTACTTTTGTCCATACGTACTTTATACTGTACGTACTTCTGCGATACGTACTTTAATCCTACGTACTTTTGCTTACGTACTTTTGTCCTACGTACTTTAGCGATACGTACTTTTGTCCGTAACCCATGGACGGCACCGTCTGAGGTTGATAAAGGTAAGCCGTAATCCCTCAATTTACAACAAACAATTTGATTAACAACCCTTGTAAGAACCATTAAGAACATAAACCGAAAAGGATGATTTATCTCTCTTGAAAAAAGAAATACAACACCGGTCCCGAGCATAGTGACTAAAAACACCGAGGTAAATTACAAAAAAGTTTCCACTCGAGACGGCAGATTGCAGGATTGAATATTTATCATGCCTGCAAGTTACAACACGGTTCGGATTAGTGGTGTCAGTTTCAGAAAACGTATGTTCAATGTCCGTCTAATGCCCCACATATTCGTCGACTGTACGTCCAAAAATGTCTAAGCCAGCTATTTGTCGAAAGCTGTGACAAAACTACCCAATAATTAATGCTAAGCACAGAGCACTGCCTGCTATTTAAGTTCCCTTTAATGTAGGTACCTACTATTACCAACGCCCCAGAAGTGTTAGTAATATCGAGAGCTGAGCTTTCTATTCGTCAATCAATTCCATACACGATTACTTTGTGAAAATGCTGATGTGTAGCAAGACACAAGTGATGGTCCAATGTTGTCCAAAGCCTGCTGTCATTGCCCAACCTAATTCCGAATAGGACACAGGAAAAAATCGAAATTCCGAACGTCCAAGTTCTGATTGGCACCACTGGTTGGGCCCATGGCCCGGGTCATGGCCTATTCATTCACTATATAACTCATTCTATTCGCTTAAAGGTAAAGTCTCAACAGTCACAGGGACCTGGGGCCGTATTCACGTCGATCATTTTCGTAAGAATTTTCTTAAGTTTGACCTACTTCTTAAGCAAATTTTTTAATCACGTGTACTCCGTTGATAAAAACTTAAGAAGTGTCGACGTGAATACCAAATTATACTTACGAAAGAAAATCGACTTACGAAGTCGACGTAAATACGGCCCCAGGTCGGTCTCTCGAAAGTGAATCGAATAAGGAGTGCCAAAGAAGCTCGAACCGGTTATTTTTCACTGCAGCTTGGTTAGCGTTCGAGCGCTGTCTGTCACTTGTCCCAATATAGCTTACAGGCAATTCTCACTTCTTCGACAACTTAAGTCTATATTTTTATGGACAATTCACACAAAGAATGTCTTTATCTACATAAATGTGGGTTGCTAATAATACCGGGTTCGAATGGAGAATGAGGATAGACAGTGGACACTGCTTGGATGTTTTCGGTGCTCCATGGTTGGGAATTGATATTCGAAATCCAGCCAAATAAGCATTAAGCAAGCACGGCCAAGAAACTATAGCACTATGTTAAAATTCCGGAATTGCACTAAAGGCGGAGTTAACAATATCATCGCCGGAAATGCTTGGGTTCACCTTTGCCTGCAAAGTGCAGGCACATGACTTCAACGACGCCACAGAATCAGCCACAGAACGGCTATGGCGTAGGATGCTTTATATCATTGCCGGCATATGGGGAGCTTCCACAGCCGCCCGACATCCTACGACTAATGTAGCGCAGCAGATATGAATGAAACGTGTTTGTTTCGAACATAGCTCAGGAAGAGAAGCGCAGTGGAAACGTTTGTCTGACATATGAATAATCGTTTGCAGGATTCCATTGCTACAATAGCTTAGCACCATTCCTTTACCAGTGACGTCGATTCAGCAGTTCAAATCATTTATCTTGAATGCAGATATTTTGCGTGGCATCTTCTTTCACAATATGAATGATGCTGACATGAATATTTCCATTGAATATCCACCGCTCATTCCACTGCCACTGGTCTTGAGACCCGCAGCTCCGGAAGATGATGATACACACTTCATTGAAACCGCGTGCCGAAGTGGTCATTTGTGCAGGACGTGGGGGCGTCCTTTGCCCTCTCCCGCTAACCCTGGTTATGGTCCGCTGAGGTAGCGATGAACGGCAAGCGGCCTGACCCTTGGTCACGTCTGTTCGGAGTATACGAATATTGCATCCACAACTGAAGCGAGGGTGGCTTATTTCTTATATTTCTCGAGAAGATGATATGGCGACGTCAAGGTAGTCAGCAACTGATGCAAAGGGATGAAACAATACCTTTATCAATTATCAACAGCAAAAGTGACGTTACACTTTATCATCTGCCGTTGACATCACAAGTCTCGAATCAAAGCGCAACGCGCTTTCCACCACCAGTCACTCCCCTGTCTGGACATCGACCTGTGCTCAGTTGACCGTTTGCAGCCACCACCGGGGTCGACCCGCCGTCCCCGTCCTGACCGGGTCACGTAGCGCCGGCAATGGGCCCAACTTCTCTGTCTAGCCGGTTAACTGTGGGACGCGCGGCAGCTGTGGACGTTCGGTCACTGACACGGCAGCGGCGCTGGTTACCGGTGTGGGGAGCCCGGAGCAGCCAGGAGCCAGGAGACACCGATGATAGACTGTTGAGGGAACGAAACGATAGAGAGAGAAAAAGATAGAAATTATCTGCAATGCACATTGCAACTTGCAAGCCGCCATATTACAATCAGCATACAGCTGCCGACCGTTAGCATTTACAACCTTCTATCCTATAAGATATTTCACATAAATATATTCGGAGTAAATGTGATATGTATCTAGAAATTTGAGACACCGACTGACACAGTGTCTTTTGATTAAAGCTGAGCTGTCCTATTGCTGTTACGCCATGAACCGTGTTTTCAGGGTTTCCTGTTTGTTTAATTTTTGTTTCGAATAAACAAGCACAAACAAACTGTTCACGAGCACTTGTGTTCTTTAACAAGTGACACCATCGGCCGAAATGTAATGAGCAGGCGGCGAACAGTGCGCTTAAAGGGACCCTCCCACCTTCAAAAAAGTTAATGAATTGGCATGAAAGTGATGTCGCTCGGTTCAGAAAGAGCGAAAACGAATATCTACCAAATTTCACCGAAAAATATTCACCGGTTTTCAAGATATTAGACTTTTACTTTTGTTTACTTTTTGGGATCTCCGCTGTTCCTAGCGACTTTATTTGGAAGCAATAGTTTGGCAGCTGAAAGTGCGGCACTTGCTGCGCGTAAAGCAGCATATACCACCGCGTGCTACAAAACGTTTTAGTCAAACATTTAAAAAATCGTTAGATATCTGCGCTGACGTCACACATTCAGAGGGGTATTCCTATGCAATAGCCCCTCTGAATCAAAATGCTGCAATTTTGAAATTCAATATTTCCGATTTAAGGCATTTCTCGATGTTGTGAGTGCCGAAACCGGTAATTGTGAGCCAGGGACCCCATTTTGGCTATCTCAACTCAAATCTAATGTTAAGGTGGGAGGGTCCCTTTAAGTTCATGAACTGCTCACGAACACGGTAAAGAGGGGTCGCAAATACCCCCTTTAGCCGTTTCGCTGCCCATTGAGCTGGAGCTTCGAGGAAAAAACGAGCGTATGTGAGCGTTACGAGACACAGCGACTGGTATCCTGCTTTAAGGTTCCAGGCCAACCGGTGACATCTAATGTCAGGTCAAGTGTCCCAAGGTAGGGAGGGATTTGGTTTTAATGAATAACTTAGCCACAAATGGTGGTAGGGCTACAATGGCGGCACCATCATGCTCGTCATGGCCAGACGCGTCGAATGAAACATTTTTTGTTTAGATGAGTTCAACTTAGGATAGTGGCCTCAGGTCAAGGTCAGGACAAAGTCACTCTGGTTATAAATTAAATTTGTTCTTAAGAAGTCATGCTGCATATGTTTCGATTCGCGCGGTCTTTCTGGCTTTCCGAAGTTGAATGATGCGTCGAGCTGGTATTTTTGTTTTTAGTCGAGCATAACCCTGCTCTGCGGTGACCGTTTGAGAGCGTACAGCAATCTTGTAAGGCGCCGAGCTCAGATCAAAAGGCCGACCCCCAAGAAAAAGGTGTTGAGTTGTGAAAAAGAAGTATTTGTATTGTATTGAATACAAATAGTGTTAGTGATAGTGTATAGTGAAGTGTTACTGCGATTAGTTTTTGTGCATGCTTCTTACATACTCGGATATCATTTCGCATACCGTTACAAAACTACATAGCAGCGGGCAGCTACAAATAGTCACATTAGTTTATGTGAAACGTCAACGCTTCAGCTTGTCAGCTCAACGAACGCATTGAGTGCGTCAGCTCTACGTCCAAACGGCAAACACTCACCTCGGATTGAACCTCTCGCTGAAAGACGAGCCAGTTGTCGAGGGCGTGCAACTGGAAGCCTGAGATGTCTGCGGCTGTAGAAGAGACGACGCAAATTTCGCCATTCCGCAGGTTTGCCTTCTTTCCTACCTCTTGCGCACAGATCAACACTGCTCACTGGGCACTGATTGAGTGAGACATGGTAGCGATCAAGATCACCCTTTTCATACGCCAGCTGAACACCTGAACGATCAACGCAAACAACACACACGTAATCCATGCGTAATCTGTCGCGCTGTTGTGTCCCCTGCTTTTCTCGTGGCTGCCGGTTACGCACGGGACAGCTGTAGCCAATCAGGATTGACCGGCCAAGGCCATCCGTAGCCGACGGGCAGAGTGAGCCGGCCGCGTCTTGGCCGAGTGCCAGGGCGGGGGGACGACTCATGGTCACTGGACTTGGCAATTTGCATCATTTTGTTATGTTTGAACGCTTTCCTCGACCTCTGAGCACTTCATCAGTGACACCTTTTCAATCGTCAATGCTGATTTTGAGCCTTATTATTTCTACAAAATGCTCTGGTTATTTTAGTTACAGCGGTACAATAAATTAATGTATAAGCCATTTGTAGAAAAACCGAATGATCAAAGCTGTAGAAGAGGAATAATACAAACTCGTAATTTCATTTTTAGTGCATTTTCCAAACATATCCCACATGTATTGCTTTTGTTATGTGCATTGCATAACAGTCATCGAATGAAAAACGCTTTGAAGTGTCTTCGTTCCAACCTTGGTTCGTCTGGGTACGGACTACGGACCGTCGCTGAATTTCGCGCATCTACCTCCGATGTCAATAATCCCCCGGTCGACCTCTCACCTCTGGCGGCCGGTATACGGAAGTTGGCCAAACTTTGCGCATTTCCCAGATATAAGAGTGACAGTTGAGCACACCAGCGGACCAGGCGACGACCACCGCGGCAGCGAAGGCAGACGTTAAGCGATGGCACCTGAGAGTTTGGCCCATGTGTGGGGTCAGCGAGGGCGATGACTTACAAATCGTTCAAAAATCGATCGCTTGAGGTTCGGTTTTAATTCAGGGTACGCTGCAATGATAATTGCTTTTTAAAGGGACCCTCCCACCTTTAAAAAAGTTTATGAATTGGCATGAAAGTGATGTCGCTCGGTTCAGAAAGAGCGAAAACGAATATCTACCAAATTTCACCGAAAAATATTCACCGGTTTTCAAGATATTAGACTTTTACTTTTGTTTACTTTTTGGGATCTCCGCTGTTCCTAGCGACTTTATTTAAAAGTGCGGCATTTGTTGCGCGCAACGCAGCATATACCACCGCGTGCTACAAAACGTTTTAGTCAAACATTTACGGACGTTCGAAAGCCTGATGACGTCATCAGATTTAAGTGCCTATACCAATACATTGTGGCACTTATTTGCACAGATGTCAAAATCAAACTCAAATTTCTTTGCGATGAAGTAATTGCTGGAGAAACGGTTTTCACGGCACTGATTTTCAAAGAACGTCCATCAAGATGGCTATCTCAACTCAAATCTAATGTTAAGGTGGGACAGTCCCTTTAAGTGCACACATGAGCTCGTCGTGAGCCCTGGCATCTCAAGTCCGTTCTTTGGAACATCAAGACATCTATCTTGATTCTTGATGTTCCTTGATGATCCTTTGATCTATCTTGACTGAATAAAAGCTGTGTAGGCCAAGACGGTCCATATTCACTATTCAGCCCTTATTCGGATAAAACGCACCTTTTTGTATAGAATCCCAGCCATGCACTTCATGGTTGCCACTAGACTATCGGAGTGAGTCAATCGCATCGTCATTATTGTATGAATGTATGATGTATTTATCACCGACAGGTAAAAACCCAATTACAGGTGAAGTCAAGTCGTCTTAACATTTATTACCTTCCTTAGTAACTGGCGATTTTCGCGAAAAAAGGGACCATATGGTCTATTTTGAGCACTCTCATTTCTTCTCTCCCTCTTCGCTCCTTTCACAGCTCTCCTCCGCCCGCAGTCGCGGTCGCGTTTTCCTCTCGCCCGGCTGGACGGCGCCGATCAATGCCACCAAATGCCAAGAAATACCGGCCAATAAACATGAGCGTTAGAAGGCGGTGCAGAGAGGGTCACCGCGGCCCAGACCGGTCCAATCTCACACGGCAACCGTGATCCGAGGGACGCCCGCATCAGAATGACGCATAAATCAACTCCCCGCCGGCGAGAAATTCCACCATTTTCTGCGTCTGAGAGATGAGAAACTCGAGCACTTAACGCGGATACTGTCGGCGGGATGTCTGGGTAGGAACAATACAGAGTTACGACAAGAGACGGGCTGCAGTTCCGTGTGCGTTCTAGGGTAATGAGTGTAGAAATAACTCGAAACGGTCACTATACCAGTTGGAGTAATCATTATATGCGTGCCTAATTGGTAGTCGGATTTCTCGCGGAAAGCAATTATTTTTAGTGGCTAGCTATCGTTGCTGAAAGTGT